ACCGCTGTTATTTTGGCCTGGGCCCTCAACTAAGAGCGAGAAGTATGTCAATAGCAACAAAGTGCAAACTTTGTGAAACAATAATACGCCCAGTGCTCACATATGGATCGGAAACATGGGCAATGACGACCCGAGATGAAGAGCTACTACGAGTCTTTGAAAGAAAAGTATTGAAGACCATATATGGAGGAGTAAACGAACAGCGTCTGTGGAGAAGGCGATATAAGTTTGAACTCTATAGACTTTTTGGTGATGCAGATATTGTTAAGACCATCAAAATAAACCGCCTAAGGTGGGTGGACCACGTTATGCGGATGGATGAGAGTGATCCCACTAAAATAACTATGCTAAACAGGCCGGTCGGAAGAAGAAGAAGGGGGCGACCTAAACTCAGATATCTGGACGATGTACAGGAAGATCTGAGGGAGATTGGAGTGAGGGGCTGGAGAAGACAGACACTCGATAGGGAAGGATGGAAGAATGTTTTGAAGCAGGCCAAGGCTCACGAAGGGCTGTAGCGTCAACTGATGATGATGATTAAAACAATTACAATGTATTTTGGACACCGATAACTTGCTTACTATAGCTGATTTATGAAACTAAACTTTATGAAACTAAAAAACTAGATAACTTTTCGGTGATACAATATTGACACGAACTGGGTAAACGAAATGCTGGATTTTGAACTGGTACTGATCACTTCCTTCAATCACTCGGCTCGTAATTGGTTTTTTAACATTCAGAATTCTCTCCCCTGATCCTCGATATATATAACGGATATGTTTACATTTCAAATACCTTCGACTTTCATTTTATTGGTAAAATAACCTGAGAATGGTATTTTTCAACTTTCGTTAATGTTGGGAAATTTAGAATGACTCAAACTGATAATTTGGAATTACTAATCCTTTCATTGTTATGATTATTATATTATTTACAGAAATAAATAGAAGTAGCGGAATCGCCAACAAATCACCCTTTTATAATAATAAAACAAATGTTTATATAAAATTTTCTTAAAGCGCACAACTGTTTATATTAATTTATAGAACAAGAAAGTTTATATGTAGTTTATTGAATATCCGGCAACCCTGTAATTTTTCGGACCGGCATTTATGAAATGTTGGCACAAAACTGTAGATTCTCTTCTGTATAAAAGAATAATTTTAGGTACTTACATATTCGATGCACAGACACCGAATTTAATTTAGTTAATTAACTATTTAATAAATATGTTATAACTGTTCTATTTGAGAAGCGTGATAACTATAACTTGCTTCTATTTCAGAAGCTGAAAAATGGTTTTACTTATTCTATTCTATATTAATAATATTATTATATTCTTCCTTTTTTCTTTCTGATATTCGATATTTTGTGTATACAATGTACTATGAGATTAAAAAAGTAATCAAGATTTTAATAACGGATAGGGCTGTTTTGTAACCATCTGGTGGCCAAGCGTAGGAGGGTTTTTGACCTGCTTTTGTACTTTCTTGGGCCCTTAAAAGGTTTCACGGCTTGGTCTAGAAATTAGAATAAGATGGGATTTGTATTTATCGGCGTTTTTAATCTATTAAGAAAGTAAATGAATTAGGTGACAGTTCTAGAGGCTTTCAAAAAGCTTTGTCAGGAATGTTCATTAAAAAATAGTTCAATGATCCCCGTGTATTTGTAATTTTCTAAAAGGGCACAAAAAAGTAATTTAAACAACATATTGCTATTAAAAAAAATAATTTTAATATGGCAAAATCATGTCTATATTAAAAGAAGAAGAAGATTAACAGTTTTTTTTTTCGTTCTTCTTGTCTGAATTACTTGTCTTTAATTTCTAGATACAAATTGTTTAGTTTTGCGATATCATTTTCTATATCTATCTGATGTGTTTTTTATATTAGTCAGTTTTTGTTCTATATATTGTTGTATTTCTTGTTCTTTTGTGTGTCTTTAATTATTCTTAAATCATGTTTTTCTCTTTTTGTTCTTTTTATTGTTTTCAGCTTAAGATAAAATTTGTCCATCACTGGATTGTGATCCACTTTTATGTCTGCACCGGGATATGTCCTAACTGAGTACGATTTCTTGTTTGTAATGAAGATTCTTGTTCGCTAGGGTGCGGAAGCTGTTCGATCTTATTCCCATTGAGGCACACTTTAAGGTATACCCTTTCCAGAACAGGATCTCCATTTCTTCAGTGCTTCACTCAGGTAGATTTTGAAGAGTGTTGGAGAAAGACTGCAGCGTTGCCTTAGTCCCTTATGTACCTTAAAATTCTCGGAGAACTAGTTGTTAATCTTTATTTTTGATCGAAGATCGTTGTATTGCTTTCACAAGTGTAACATTAATAGATGAGCTTTCCAGTACTTGTCATAGTCTACATAGGGGTATTGTATCACAAGTTGTATCGTCAAGTCCACAAATAATAGATGAGTTGGTCTATCCCTAGCCATGTCTTTTGCATTTAGTTGGGTTAAAGTGTAGATTTGGTCGATGCAAGATCGTCCACCTCGAAATCCTGCTTGTTGTTCCAGCTCAAGTGGTTCGTATTTGTTTTCGACTAGAGTTTTCATAACTTTTCGTAGGATCTACTGAGAGTGGTGGTAACAGAGATGCAGCGGTAGTTTTTGCAGTCTGTCATCCTCTTTTTTTATGGATCGGTGTAATTCATCTTTCTTTCCAGCTTTCACGTATATTATCTCCGTTTAGGTATCTATTTAAAAGTTCTGTTAGCATATTAACCAGCGTTGGTGTTGCATATTTCAGAAGTTCAGTGGGGATTTATTAAGTTATGTATTTCTTTAATTTGTATTAATATTAAGCGCTCTGAATAAGGAGTACAGGTAATCAGAGAATTTTTCCATTTCTTCGAAATGATGATTCCAACTCCGTAACGATGAGTGTTGTTTTCGATTCCGGAGTAATAAAATACGCCATCATTTCGTGTAGAACATTTCCTAGATCCTGGCCATTGTGTATTGCTGATTCCTAAAACATCGATGTTTAGTCTATTCATTTCTTGTTCAACATTATCCAGTTTTCCTGCAGAGAACAAACTTTTAACATTCCACGTTGCAACTCTTAAAGTTGTTGGTTTCTGCGCTTCTTGTACAAGGATTTCACATGTTTACGACCAAGTGAGCCTTATCGTGATTTTTTTCTCACTCTGCCGGATCTTGGTATCCTATTTCCATGATCAGTAGGGTTTCCAGTATTTTTGGTGTACACCATAATGACTTAACTAGGGATACTCTATGAGTCTTTAATGCAGGGTTCCCCGTTGCCTTCTGCATCCTTCCGCCGTTGACCATCCTTGGTTCATCCGCCTTCGAGACCGATTTCTCGATCTCAGGACAAAAGAGTGCCCTTCCACATACTAGCTCATCTGCCGAAGCCTTGGCCAGTAAATGGTGGGATCGCTTATACCGGCAATCATTCGGTGAATTATCTGTTGGTCCACGGGAAGTATTTTATTTCCCCCCGAGGGATGTTCCCCCGAGAGATGCAGGGACTACTTTACGTCAATTTCTCTGTCGCAGTGGGGTAACGGGCTGGTATTGAAACAATTGTATAACAAAAGTCTATCTTGTATCAAGGTTAGTAGATATTTAAGTAGGTTGTCTCGTAACTATGTGGGCGAAGCGAGGGGAAGGCAGAATGCTTACGTCACTCATACGACAATGTCAAATTTGACAGTTGATGGACAGTTGTCTGCACGTCTGAGTTTAAGTTCACGTTTGTATTCGTATATTTTTTTGTGGAATTTTCCTATAGTATCATTAGTTCGTTTATTTGTTTAATTATTGTTTAGTTTTTTATTTTTAAGTATAGGTATAAGGACATATTATTTATAGAATCTTATTAGTTATTTGTCTACATAAACACTTTTGAAGTGTGTTGTCGTAGCTGTGATATCAGTTTGTCTAACATTATATGTAGTTTTGTATGTTGTAATAATGAATATTTTTACATGAGTGGCGGTAACATACTACCTGTAATAGCAACTCAAAAATTCTGGATGCAGATGGAAACAAAATAATGCCCTTCATGTTTCCCAAAGACCCAACGTTATTAAACAGTGGGTCATAAAATGTTGCCGGAAAGATCAGTGGATCCCTAAAAACAAGAAAATATGTAGTAAATTCACGGTAACAAACCTATAGCCTGAAGATTTGTGCTTGAAGGACTAATCATTTTTTGTATTTTAATCTAATAATAAATTATTTATATTACCTATTTGTTTTTTTTTGCCTACAACTAGATATGATAAGAATGCTGCAAATTCCAGGAAAAACATAATAAGTTGAAGACAATAAGTTCCTACATACGTATTTAGAATTTTTGCTTTTGAACTTTTTCTACTGTTTTTTTTTGAGTTTTTGTGCGAAATAAACTGTTATCTCCATTTAAAACACACAATTTTATCCATATAATCAATTCTATTTTTTGTCATCAGACTATTGATAAAAAAAATTGATATAATTACTAATATAAGAACCACTTAACATCCCTATACCCAAGAAAATCCCAAAATATATTGCAGAACCTAAGTTTTTGAAACTTTTATTAGCATTGAAGCTTATGGCAAGTTTTAAAAGTGTCGTATGGGTGACATATTCCTGCCTTTAAAAAGCGAGCATTTGATTGGTCTATGTTACGAGACAACTACTTAAATATCTACTAACTTTGATCTTGTATTATAAATATGTCTATGGATTTTGCGTTTGAATATCAATGATTTTCTTCTGCTTTTTTGTTATCAACAATCTTTATTTTAATGATATATTCATCTGTCAACGTTTTAAATATATTTTTCACTATTTTTTTTTATTTCAGGTGAGTTAGCTGCTAAAGAGGCGTTTGTTTATTAAAAAAAACAGTAAGTATTATGAAGTAGATAGTTACAAAGATACTATGGTTAACCATTGACAAACTGATAATTTTATACATATTATTAATTTTTTAATACAGTTGCTTAATTTAATCAACTGTCAATTCATTGATTAATTAATTATCAAACGTCAAACTGCTTGTACGAAAAGTTTGTTATTACGATGTCTGCGGCAGCGAAAGTAGCTAGAGCTGCAAATATTAAGAAGATAACACCTTTAATGAATCGAGTACTAATAAAAAAAGCAGAAGCAGAGACTCACACTGAGGGTGGTATTATATTACCTGACAAGAACAACGTAAAGGTGCAAAGAGGCACTGTCGTCGCCGTCGGTCCTGGAATTAGAACCGAAAGCGGACACATCGTGCCCGTTAATGTTAATACCGGAGATGAGGTGATTTTGGCTGACTATGGTGGTACCAAAATCGAGCTGGCTAAAGACGAGGTATATTTTATGTATAGAGATCATGACATTCTGGCAAAATTGACGGATTGAAGCTGACGGTTTCCTTTTGCATTTATTCATCGGTAAACTATTGATAAATTAGTCTTTGCTAATTTGGTATACGTTTGTAACTTGATAAATAAATAAATAGCTATTTCTCTTGGCACTTTTTTATTATAAAGGTAATTATCGTTCTTAATAATATTCATTACTAGTAAAAACCTCATCATGCAAGGTTTTGTTGCAAAATTCATGTTGACCCTTTCAGTCACGTTACAAGAAATAATATAAATAAAATTTGAATCTTGTCAGCCGTTTCTATTATTTTTTTTGAAGATTTTTGGACATAGAATTTGACTATAGTCCTTTTGATTGTTGATTTACTGAATGTCCTTTTACAAGAACAACTAAGTTACTTTAGATTAGTAGTAACAGGAAAAACCATAAGAACATAGTTAAAAACTAAAATATATTAAATTATCACAAAAAAATATGCAATTACAGTGGACACTTCGAAGTACAACTTCAATAGTTTTATAAATGATAGTATAGTATTATAAAGTCAGTTGAAACACCCAAAAAACTGGTTGCCGACAAACATTAAAAGAATAATATCATATTACCAGACATGGGCGCATCATTTATTTTTATAATCAAATATAGATTAATGTAGAACAGAAAAAGGACAATTTTAATTTACTTAAAGCTGTCGTAAAGTACATAAGTGTATAAAAATTTTTTAACATGTCATATTAGGCAACAAAAATAATTAATAATTAAATGGCAATAGGCCATATTGACAGTATAATGATTTAATTATACTTCGTAAAATAATAAACATTTTTGCTGTACAACACTGGCATAATTCAACAGTGTTTTTTATCTGTACCCATCGCTGTCGGCTAGAACGGAACCTCCAGTAGCGTGTTAAATATTGGTGATTTTGAATAACATATCAATGTCCAATATTTATTTGATGGGATGTATCTTTCATTCCTCTTTCTTCCATCTGTTTCCTGCGAAGTACGTGGATTGTTCAAATACGTTTGAAACATTGACGCGTGTTATTTATACTTTAACTGGTTTACCGGTAAATGTAAATATTGAACTGCCCTTATAAATCAAGTCGGAGAAAAATGTTTCAACTGATTTTTATAAATACTATACTAAACAGCTATACCAACGACGACTGGAAGAAAAACTACGAGAAATAGAGAGACAAACATTTTCAGATATTTACGAGAATATTATTGCTAGTTTACACCAGGCCACTAAGGAGACACTCAGGACACAGCAAAACAAAATTACTAACAAAATATGGTGGAACGAAGAAATCGAATATATGGTAAAACAGAAAAAAGAACAGCATCTAAAAGGGCCAAATACAAAAAATACTGAAGACCATCAACCTTACAAAGAAACCGATAGAACAACTACGAAAAATGATAAAACAAGAAAAGAGTAAAACATAGGAAACAAGGAGAGGAAGCGAGGGTAGACATCGAAACAGTAAGGAATGCTGTAATGATCCTAAAGAATGGTAAATCCGCTGGACCTGAGGGAATCTATGCTGAAATGCTTAAGAATGGAACTCATAAACTATTTGAAAACTCAACTTATGTGATCAATCAGTGTCTAAATGGACACCCAGTACCAGAACAATGGAGAACGGCATACATGTCCTCAATACACAAAAAGGGGAACAAAAGGAATTGTAATAATTATAGAGGCATATCGATAACCAGCACCCTGAGCAGACTGTATGGACGAATTTTGAGAAATATGATCGAGGAAGAATATAAGCACAATGAAGAGGAAGAACAAAGCGGGTTCCGTGCAGGAAGATCGTGCACCGATAACGTATTTTGTCTTAAACAAATAATAGAAAAAAGATCGGCTAAGAATCTAGAAACTCATATTACTTTTGTAGACCTGCAAAAAGCATATGACAACATCTCCTTAACAAAATTGTGGACAACGTTGAAAAGATCTAACATCAACCACACATTGATAAATACTGTACAAGAACTATATAGAGACTCAAAGGCACAGATAAAAACAGGAAAATATCTAACGGAAGAATTCCTGGTTACAAAAGGCTTGCGACAGGGATGCTGTATCTCACCAACCTTATTCAAGATATATGTTGCAGCAGCATTGGAAAGATGAAAAGAAAGGTGCATAGGATGGGTATAGAGCTTAGCAATGAATGTATATATACACTCCAGTTTGCTGATGACCAGGTAGTACTAGCGACCGACAGGTAAGACATGCAGTACATGCTTAGAAAACTGATAGAAGAATATAACGACTGGGGAATGAATGTCAATACAACAAAAACCAAATATCTTTGTATTGGAAACGAGTCAGATAACATAGACCTCGAAAACGGACAACATATTTCCTGCTGTCAGAGCTATGACTACTTGGGTGTTGCCTTTGACAATACAGGAACTGATACACGGGAAATAGAAAAACGAATCACACAAGCAAAGAAAGTCTTAGGATGTCTCAATGGTATACTGTGGAGTAAAGAGATAACGAAAGGAAAAAAATTTAATATATATGAGACCATGATTAAAACTACTCTTCTTTATGGCGCTGAAACATGGAGAATTAGTGAAAAGAACAAAAAGCGAATAGAAGCAGTAGAGATGGATGCAATGAGAAGATCTTTAGGTATTTCCAGACGAGACCGAATCAGAAATGATGTAATAAAACAACGTATGGAATAGAAGGAAATATAACTCAAGATATAGAAAAGAAACAATTAAGGTGGTATGGGCATGTTCAACGGATGCCAGCAACAAGACTCCCAAAAAAGTAGTAGAATGGCAACCGATAGGTCGACGGAAAAGAGGAAGACCCAGATTAGAATGGCAACACGGCGTAAACAAGTCCATGAGCGAAAGAAATTTAACAACAAACGACTGCGAAGATAGGAAGAGATGGTGTTTAGGTATCGGACAACGTCGAAAGACGTTCTAAACCGATGTATATATATATATATATATATATATATATAGTATATATATATATATATATTATTGTGATATTTAAAGTCTTGGTGCGCCAAGCAATTAATTAGCTAATTAATTAATTAATTAATTAAATTATTTAAATGATATGATTATGACTCTATCACACTTTTTAATTCTCTTATCTCAGGGTTAAATTCGTGCTTCAATATCTATGCTATTACATGTGAAAGGTAAGGTCCAAAGAATACCGGAATAATAAAAAAACATATGATATAACACTATATATTGAAATAAAATAATGAAATAAAATTCACACTCAAATGTTTTCAATAAACAAAATCTCATATAATGGTTCTCAAAATTTTGTTCTACGTACGTGAACCTTCAAAATTAATGGTACAAACAATATTAGTTGAAATCTCAAAATCCCAAATATTATTCTAAATCTCCTAATCAAAATATTTATATCCTTTCTAAATTAAGTGTAAAAATTGTGTTATCAATAAAAGAAAAAACTGCAGAAAACAAAACTATTCTCTCTGATGATGAGTGGTCCAAATCCTTGTTCCTTGCTAGACTATATTATCTACTCTCAGCCGCTCCCTAGGTAATCAGCAATCTTACAACAAATTATTGCAAGTTTATCGTCCTTAATGATCTCCTTCAAATGCACGAATCGTTCAAATTATGCTAGCTTCTTCTTCTCTCAATAAACTGAATCTCTCGTTGGCCTGAGTGAAAAATGACTCTTGGAATATCTTTTCTTTACGATAAACTGAATCTCTCGTTGGCCTGAACAGTGACTCTTGGAATATAAGTAGAAAAATATAACTTACAATCTTTTACTGGATCAGCTTCTGTCAGATACACTAACTACACGAAAACTCACAAACTTTCACTGCTACTGCTTCCTACCTCTGGGAAACTACCCGAGAACAACGCCCGTTCGCCTTCTACCCTTGGAAACCAACTGACTATCTTTTTTGTTTCTAAAACTAACTAAAGTCTCATTCTCAAACCAATCATCCCACCTTTTTCAATTTCATCCAATCAAACGCGTCATCCATCTCCCATTTCGATAACACACAAATTTTTACCTACAATTATAAAATTTCCCAAAACTTATTTACAAATAATATTTTTCTACAATTCTTAAGAACTAACAAAAACATATCTTTCTACATTCTATTCTATTGTTCTAATTACTGCACAACATTTATTTGGAAAAACCACTTCCACTGTCTAGCGTTTCACTTAAGCTTCTGCAGGTCACTCAAATATATTTTAACAAAGAAAATAATTTATGCATAGCTTACGTTTTGTTCAATATAGGTAATCCAAAGATAAAAGGACTTTCATTCTTCGAAATGTTTGTCGTTTATTAATTCGACTTATCTGAATTATTTTAATTATTTGAACTTTGAAATATTTTTAAACAAAGCGATATTTTCTTGATTTTACATATCATAACTATATTATATATATATATATTATATATATATATATATATATATATATATATATATATATATAAATACACAATTACATTATTTTTCATGGTACATAAAAATACTAGGGACTTATCACGCTCTGGGCTATGCCCAGTTGGGTGACTCAACTGTGGTTTGGACCCAACCTTTTGTGGTTAGTGCCTCTGTTAGTATTTTATTAATTATTTTTTTTGATGGCCAAATTTTTTTTGCCGTTGGTCAATACGTGAGGGATAGCTTCTGCGTTAGCCATTCAATTAGATGTTAACTTCTACCTACGTGGAGTTGTAGATTTGGATTTTCCCTTCATTGGGATTAAAACTTTTTTGGTATTTTTTAGCTTCTTCAGAGCTTTAGAAGTTAAACAAACAAAGTTTTTAACAAACTAGGTAAACGATAGAAAACTTTTTAAAAATTGCATATGTGTTTATGAGTTCTTGTTTTCGCATGGGGAGATTTGATTAGGACTAAAAAAGTAGTGGACTGTCTCTCCGAATATTTTTAATATAAACTTCTGTACAAAATTAACGCACCACTTTAATTAATCTAAATATTTACAATATGAACACAAAATAAAACTTAATTACATTGAAATAATAATAAACACCTACAAATAAGTCCAAAATAATTTTATCGTGACCTTAATTTGCCTTATTGTTTATTTAAAAATTTGTTTTTGTCGGAAATGCG